CTGAATGCGGTGCTTTTGGGAGCATTTGAAAGAGAATTCAGCGGGTTGTGAGCCTTAGACTGTGTGGTATTATGCTTGGGTCTCGTGTGGCGAGTCTGGGTTGAGGGATTGTGGTGCTACAACAAGAGGGAGTATCAAGTCGAAGGTAACTCAGAAGGAACTCAGATAGATGGGGTAGCTTGGTAGTAGGCCGAATCGGTATGGTAAGGATATGACTAGTTCTTTGGGTGCTTACGAGGTAATGAGTTTCTACAAGTGTTTCACGGCAATGCTCTTGGGTGATAGTGGCCTGCGTAGTTTGGTTGATATAGAAGGATTCAGACCCGATGGTTTAGTTTTGTGCAAAAGGAATCAAGAGAGTTCTTGACGGTTTCTACCACGGTTAGAGAGGTATATTTTCTGCTGGCGTGAAGAGCATGGGATGTGTAATGATTTTATTCTACGTGGGATCAATGGGAAGTTCTTGACTAGTTGAGTACGTAGATGTTTGTGGCTCGGAAGGGAGATGAAGTTCTCATGTTATTCTAGGATGGTATAGTATATGCGGTATGTTTTGGAGGATTGAGATTTGCGTGTGTAAGGTTACGGTTCAGTTCTGAACAGGAGGTCATAAAATCCATAGGCGGCACGGGCAGTTTCAAATAATTAGAGAAATGAGCTTCAGATGATTAGGGGAATGGTCTTCAGATGATTAAGGAAATGGTATTGCTAGTTGGAGGTAATTTGACGATGGTATATGTTTCTAAAAAAGGCAATGTGATTAAGTTGATGGTACTTCGGTAGTATTGCGGCACTTTCTTGTAGATCGACTGCTTATATCGGGTTGCTTGGTGGTACAGAAGAATGTCAGAGTATCTCTCGTGGAATGATTGGGTGTTAAAGATGTGGTATGTATTTGGACGGTGGAATTGGGATCGGATATGGTGATTCGTATGCTGTATGGAGTTGGAGACTGGGAGTTCTCATATTCGGGTGACTATCGGGGTTTGGAGACCCAAGTGGATCTTTTACTGCTTGGTATGTTATATTTTGGATGTGATATTAGGTATAGACTGGTTATCGCATTGTTGTGTCATTCTGAGCTATTGCGCTAAGGCAGCGATGTTGGCTATGCCGGGAATGCCACAGATTGAGTGGCGAGGTTCGATGGATTATGTTCTTAGTAGGGTGGTTTTATATTTCGAAGACCAAGCGGATGGCTGGAAAGGATTGTCCTTCTTATTTGGGCTTTCGTGATGGATGTCAGTGTAGAGACTCCTACCATTGATTCAGTTCCGGTGGTGAGGGACTTTCGGATGTGTTCTTGTGGCCAGGCATATCGCCGGCAAGGTTGTTGATTTCGGTATTGATTCGATGCCGGGCACCGTATAGTATAGCACCGGCAGAGTTAAAGGAGTTGAAGGAGCAACTTCAGGGTTTCCTTGATAAGGGGTTTGTGGGCAGGCCAATGTGGATGTGTGTTCTAACTTGAGCCGGCTTGGTTGGATCCGAGTTGTAATGTTGAGGGATGTGTTGATTCGATTGTTATTGAGCTTACCGGTAATTTGGGGGAGATCTATGAGTTACCTTTCTGTGTTGCGAGGCATTATGATTTGTTGGTTATAGGCACATATGATGCGGTTCTATTGGGGTTTGATAATGGAAGTCGAGCGGGAAGAGTAATTGGGTATTGCTCGGTGAATGGCGTATCGGTTATGTCCTTTCGGGTTGTGTGGTGTATGTTATTTGCTTCACCATGGGGATGATGATTTGCTTTTGTGCCAGACATCAAATTGCGCGTGGTTGTCTATTTCGAGCATGGGGAGCTTGAGGTTCAGCTCTTTCAATTGAGTCATTTTCATGATTTGAGTATGTTCGGACTGTTGCTTATTGGTGCGCGTATTGCGCAAGTTGTGACTTTAGTCTGTATTGAGGTGTCATGTCACCAGAGTAGTTGTGTTGGAATTAGATAAGATCGTTGGGATCTTTAATGAATACAACGGATTCAATTTCAGCATGTTGGGAGGAATAAATATCGAGGTTCGGCTCATAAATTTGCTATGGTCCTTGCCAAAGGAGAAGTGGCTTCATGAATGGTTGATCTCAGAAATGGTTATCGTTTATTGCGTGTTTCATTTATCATTGGCAGGGCATGAAAGTGTTGGAATGAGACCTTAGTTGATAAGAGGTTTTCTATCGGTATTCGGTTGCCGTGTGCAGTTGCTGTGATTAGAAGTTATCGCTGCAAGCGTTTGAGTTATGTGGTACGTTATGAAATTGCACCTGAGGTTGCTGGTATGAGTTATTACAGCTTGTTCGGGCTTATTTCCAGTATAAATGTGAGGTTCTGATCGTATTGATGATTTCAGAAGTGGAAATGTGGTTCTATGATTTATGGGCTAGATTGGATTGTGAAATTTCAGTTACCATGTGTTATCAGACCTATATGAGATAGAGTAAGTGGTATCACCCCGGGTATATGCATGGCAAGGTTATTCAACGATTGGTTGGCTGTTGGAACAACTCTGGGCACGTTCGAGGACGAACGTATGTTTAACTGGGGGAGGATGTAACGACCCGACCGGTCGTTTAGAGCTTTTGCATTTTGTTCGTCAGTTTCCGGGCATGACTTGCCCCGTGTGATGTATTAAGACTCATATAAATCGTTGGTTTTGGTTTTCAGGGTAATCAGAATGAATTTGGAAGAACAGTTCCCAGTTTGAAGCTCGAAATTTGAAATGTTTGACCAAGATTTGACTTGTTAGTATTGATCTCGGATCGGAATTTTTATGATTTGGTTAGCTCCGTTAGCTGATTGTGGCTAGATTTGGAGCATCCGGAGGTCGATTCGTGCGGGTAAAGGCATCGCGGGCTAGAGTTTGGACCAGATCGAGGTAATGATTGTAAATACTGTCCTGAGGGTTTGAAACCGCGAATTTCACATCGTTGTGCTACTTTGGGGTGACGCACACGTTAGATGACGAGCGTGGAGCCGTGCATCGTTGGGGATTGTGACTTGGTCCGTCCCGTACGACTGTTAAGTCGCGTATTTGATTTGAAATTTTATGATATTACATATTTTAGAGATTGATATTATAATTTGGGTTGTATGCCATGTTTGGGGCCTTGTGCCGACCTGTTGAGACCCTTAGGGGCATTTTTACTATTTTTCCTCACTCTATTTGTTTGAAAGCATAACCTCAGTCATGTTTTACCTGTTTATTTTTTTTTTCTGGTTTCATCACTTTACTTCTTAAAAATAAGAAAAACTGTTTGGGTTGAGTTCCCTGATTTACTAATAGACCGAGGGTCTGATTGTGAGGATAATGACTGAGATAGACCGAGGGTATGATAGTGAGGTCAATGACTAAGAGAGGCCGAGGGCCTGGATGTGAGGGTTTCATATTTATGGATCAAGCTGCATGCCGCAGCAATATATATATATATATATATATATATATATATATATATATATATATATATATATATATATATATATATATATATATATATATATATATNTATAGCGCTTGGGCTGTAGGAGCCCCTCCGGAGTCTGCACACCCCTAGTGAGCACAGTCGACTATATATATGGATCGGGCTGCACGCCGCAGCGATATATGGATCGGGCTGCACGCCGCAGCGGTTACTATATGGTACCTATTGAGTGTGAGTGCTGAGTGTGAGCGCTGATTGGTAAGAGTTGAGTCACGAGTGACTGAGAGGCTTGCCCGAAGGGCTATATATATATACATGTACATGAGTGATGTTTTGCCTGAGGGGCTAGTTCATGAACTTACTGTTTTCACTCCTCTTTAGAGTGAGTTTCCAATGAACATGGTGATTTAATTACTGTTTTCACTCATCTTTAGCCCGAACCTCTATTGAAAATGTTGGACAAATATTTTAAATAATCTTTCATTTAAACTGAAGTTTTTAAGCTACGAAAAGGACTGTGAATTTTCTGTTATGCCCGAGGGGCCGTATACGAACTATGTTTCGCCCGAGGGGCCGGTGATGATTTTCATCTATTTTATTAGAAATGGTATTGAACCCCTACTGAAACTGTTGGAAAGCATTCTTTTTTTCAAATGATTTTTACACAAAAGCTAGATTTTAAATCAGACGATTGACTCGTATTCTCATTTGGAAGCCTGTTGTGCTTATTGAGTTATCATAAATGTGGATTCATCATTTTCCTATTGCTCAGTCTTTATTTACTCTTATTACTTACTGGGTTGGAGTACTCACATTACTCCCTGCACCTCGTGTGCAGATTCAGGTATTTCGGAACCCGGTAGCGGGTGTTGATTGCTCGGAGGCGGAGTGTTGGAGTTAGCAAGGTGGCTGCACGACATTCGCAGCACTGCTTTCCTTCCGTCTCATTTCCATTACTGTATTTAGCACATTTTTAGACTCTTGTCATATTCAGACCTTGGTAGGTGCTCACGACTAGTGACACCACGATTTGGGCTATGTTTGGGTTGTACTTCCGCATTTTATTGACATTATCCGCTACTTAATATTAGTAAATCATGTTTTAGACTGCTTTATGTTGTTTAACTATTTAAAAAGCTAAATTGAGTTTAGTTGGCTGGCCTTGTCTGCACGAGAGACGTCATCACGATCGGGTTCAGAGAAATAGGGTCGTGACATTTTGAAAAGAGAAAAGAGGAAGATTAGGATTTTTGGCGATGGAGATGATGAGAGAATTGAATTTGGGGAAAAGTGAGAGAGTGTAAAATCTGATAAATGAAAGTGAGAGAAGAAAGAAAGGAATTAGAATTAGGGAAAATTTATGTGGGACAGAGGAAAAAGGGAAGTGGGGTATAGCCATAGGGGTTTTAAAAGAGATGAGCCAATGTGGGTAATAAAACAACAATTGGGCTAATAATGGTGATGAAGAAGATATCCGTGGGTTTGAATGACAGTTTAATAAACATTAGGGGTCTATGTGAAGAGCCTGAATATAATAACATAGAACATAACTATTGAGAAGAAATATCCTAAAGATATCACTTCAGTTAAAATTTTGACCACAAGTGACAAGATATATTTATTTGAAGGTCTAGCACTATCCATCCACAGATTATCTGCAGATTTTTTTCAAAAAATGGCAGCTAAAATGGCTGTGTCTTCTGCACTTTGCATGAACTTTGCAGTTGTATCAAGGGAACTTTTTTCACCTTCTCCACAACCCCTCAGTTTAAGCTCATGGAAAAGAAGGGGAAACCATTTCAGAGTTTCTGCAAAATTAGGTTTGGTTTAAATATTTAAGTTCACCAAGTTAATAGTATATAGTTTATTATGATATTAGAAGATGGTTTTGGTGATTCTTGATAGGGGGAGGAGAAGGTGATGTCAAGAAAGACAAGAAGAAATTCATCACTAAAGAACAAGAACCTGAACAGTAAGTTTTCCATATAGTGATTGATTTCTGTCTTGTTTTTATTATCAGTTGTTTTGCTTTTCTTGATTTTGATTATTTTGTCAAGAGCACATTGGATATCTGAAGGTGAGCCATGGCGTAACTAGTAAAGTTGATGCCTTGTGATCAGGAGGTCACGGGTTCAAGCTGTGGAAACATCCTCTTGCAGAAATGCAGGGTAAGGCTGTGTCCAATAGAACCTTGTGGTCCGGCCCTTCCCCGAACCGCATAGTGGGAGCTTAATGCACCAGACTGTTTTTTTTTTTTTTTTTACATTAGATATTTGACAAGAAGATCGAATTTTCCTGAATTAGTTTTAGTTTATTGAGACAAGTAAGTGAAGGGGATTGCCTGGTTTTAGGTATTGGCAGACAGCAGGAGAAAGAGCAGGGGAAAACCCTATGATGACACCTCTTCCCTATATAATCATATTTGGAATGTCAACACCCTTTGTGATCTTGGCTATTGCTTTTGCTAATGGTTGGATTAAGGTTCCAATAAGATGATTAAAGACTGATCCACAGAGAGTTGCAAGAAGGACTTATGGATGTCTGATTCTATTTATTCTGCACTGACCTTTTTCTTCAGCTGAGTTTGCAATGTATAAGAGTTACCCCAGTTCAATACACAATTTTTTGTTTATAATTTTCTGTATCATAGGCAGATATCGAATTTCAAGTTGGTTGGTGCAGAGTATTGCTGCATTTGTTATTCTGTTCTGGTACCGTCCGTAATGTGTATCCTCCATTTTGACAATTGAAAGGAGCAAAAGCCTAAATACAGTTCTCTTGTCAGATGTTCTTTTGTGAAAGTATTTGAATATGATCGAGTATGAGAACGGACTATGGTTATCTTTGATCATGTGAAAAAATTTGAGCATCCAACAGAAGACGTAAGTCAATAACTGGAGTAGGCCAATACTTTTATAATCTTCACCTTTTTCTTGATGCATTTCTGCTGGAAGACTTACATCCTTGTTAAAAAAGAGGAGAAAACAGAAACTTCAGATGATCAAAGGATGATAAATATTTTGTTGATACATATCAAGTAAGTTTCCCTTCAGCTCTCTCTGAGTGTGCAACCATAAAAAAATAAGTAGATTGAAATCTACAACTCCAAATATATTTCAAAGTTCATGCTTAGCAGAAAGAGAAATGTATAGGGTAAAATATGCTCATTTTAAATGATCGCATAATAGAGTGACACGTGGAGCCGGAGACAGATGAAGAGCAAGGCAAGTGGAAATCAAGTCCGGGGGCAATAATCTCGATTTTCCCCGAAGGAAATGTTGCTCATAAAGACAAATAAATGCATGCCACCTGGTAGCATTCAATGGAGAATATTCTGCAGTATTACATACGTAGTCCGTTATAGAGAACATGATATTTGTAGCCTGCCGTTACACATTTATCAATGGGCCCCATAATAATCATTTAAGGGAACTTTGATCCTAGGACCTTATTCCCTAGATGCAGCTATAAATAGTAACTTAAATAATCATTGCAAGGGAGACGAATTTTCTGACAAACTTATGTTATATACTGTTCAAAAGCTCAATAACATTTTATTTCTTGCTTATTTATATTGTTATTATTGCCTTCGGAAGCTTTGCTCCCGGAACCAAGCTATCTGTTGTCTTATCTCGATTTCAACGCTAAGTCTTGCATTCTTATTTAAGTTATTTATCATTTTTGGGATCAAATCGATTCGCTTGTCTATAAACCACGTATAAATTTAACTGTATCGTTATATGAGTAAACAAGAAACTTGATGCTTTCTGAGTCTCTTGGCAGATCACTCTTTAACGCATAGGGCTACATAGGCAGAAAAGGCATGGGAGCAGAGCTTCATGAATGTATAGTAGTTTTGATTCAGACATACAATAAATACTACACCTCAATCTGAAGCAAGTTAGGTCCGTTATATGAATCCTCGTTGATCTATGTCGTTGCATTTAAGCTTATGCCAGTTAAATCCTATTTATTTCAAATATATGCAAAGAACAAATTGGTCATCATGTGGTCCACCTTTCATTGCAACAGTCTACATTTAGTTTTGTCAAGGGCAGACCCTCCTGTTAGGCAGTCGCAGCAGGTCCGGACACAACACTACCTTCAGCTGGAAATATATTATGTAGTTGAATTCCAGAAAAAATTGGAAGTATATGTTGGAGTTACATGACAGCTTTGGACTATATTTTGGGCTGTAATTAGTTAGTAGTGTAGTTGGGCCACAGGCCCATTATAGTTATTTACTTCCGCTTGTATTTTGTATTCTTTGTGTTATGGCAATAAGCCCATTGTATATAAGGGACTAGGGAACATTCTAGAGATACATAACATGAAATTCAATAGACAGCTTTTGCTCAGCACTTCATTCTCTTCCTCTCCTAAACCTTAACTACGAATTCATCGACTTCGCTCAATTTTTGAGCTTAACATGGTATCAGAGCCATGAAATCGTCGATCCTTCATCTCCTAATTTCATCGATGTTACCCTTGGAGATTTTGGTTCGTTAGCTACTTTATTTTTCTCATCCTCTCTTAGTCGTCGGAGTTTCGTCCTGTTTTTCATTTTTTTTACTGCTTCTTTTGCTCGATTGAGTTGGAGTGTCATAGATATCTAAGAATTTTGTGCAAAATTTGTGCGATTCATTCATCAATTGGAGTTTTTGGAGGATTTTCTTCAAAGCTAGGGTTCAGTTCTCAGTAATCTTCAAGCAATCTTTAAGGCCTTTTACTTCTTCAGGTCGCGAAGAAGTTTGGTACACTCTTTCCTATTTTTGCATCTGTTGATTCTGTTTTTAGGAGATTAAGATTTGTTGGAAATTAACTCCCTTTTTGAGTATTTTTCGTGAAAATCATGGGTGATTCCAGTGCAAATATTGGTCCTTACGTTCCTGAACCTACTAGTCATTTGTTTCTACTTCCTTCTGATGTGCCAGGCATATCTCTTGTTAGTGTTCCTTTCTCTGGGACAGGTTTTGGGGGTTGGAAGCGAAGTATGATAGTTTCGTTGTCTAATAAAAACAAAATTGGATTTATAGATGGCTCATACATTAAACCTGCTGAGACTTCTCCTCAGTATAGACAATGGGATAGATGTAACAACATGGTCATATCATGGTTGACCAATTTCTTATCCCCAGACATTGCTGAAAGTGTACAATATTCAGAAACAACTGAGAGTATTTGGAAACAATTAAACAACAGATATAGGACTGTTAGTGGGACTAAATTCTTTGAGATTAAAAGAGAACTTTCCTCCACTTATCAAGGATCCCTAGATGTTGCTTCTTCCAATTCTTCCACCTTGGTATGCAAACTTCAAAAGTCTCTTTATGGTCTTAGACATGCATCTCGTCAGTGGTATGCAAAGTTATCACAAGCTCTTTGCTCTAGAGGGTATACTCACTCTTTGAATGACTATTCATTATTTGTTAAAAAGACTCGGTCCTCTACTATTTTCATAGTTGTTTATGTGGATGACATCATACTCACTAGTGATGATTTATCTGAGGTTTCAGCTCTTAAGTCATTTCTGGATGAGCAATTCAGAATTAAAGACTTGGGACTCCTTCACTATTTTTTGGGTATTGAAGTTTTTTATCATTCTTCAGGTGCTATTTTGCATCAAAAGAAGTTCATTAATGATTTACTTGATGAATATCATTGTTCTGATGTTTCTGAGGTTGTTGCTCCTTTAGATATTTCACTTAAACTACATGCTGATGTTGGGGATCTGTTACCTCAAACTGACAAGTATAGGAGTTTAGTTGGGATGGGAAGTTGAATTACTTAACTCACACTAGGCCTGATATGTGCTTCACTGTCTAGCATCTAAGCCAATTCCTACAGGCCCCTAGAATTCCTCCCATGACTGGTGCATTACATGTTTTGCGATATTTGAAGGGTACACTTGATCATGGGGTATTCCTTAACAACTTCTCTGATTTCTCCTTACTGGCTAGCTATGATAGTGATTGGGCTGCTTCTCCAACTTCTAGAAGATCTGTTACTGGTTTTTGCATTCATTTAGGGGGCAGCCTCATTAGTAGGAAGTCTAAAAAGCAGCCTATTGTTTCTTTATCCTCCGCTGAAGCTGAATACAGAGCCATGAGTAAGGTGGTTGCAGAGTTAGCTTGGGTGGTTCGATTGTTGGCTGATCTGGGAGTGCCCTTTACTACTCCTGTTCCTCTTCTGTGTGACAGCCAGGCTACAATTCATATAGCCAAAAATCCTGTCTTTCATGAGCGTACTAAATATATCGAAGTGGACTGTCATTTTATTCGCACCAAGTTGGCTGATGGGCTCATTTCTTTATCTCATGTTCCAACTTCTTCACAAATTGCTGATATTTTTACCTAGACCTTGACAGGTTTGCAGCATCGTCTATTATCGAGCAAGTTGGGTGTGCGCCCACCCTCCAACTTGGGGGGGGGGGTGTTGGAGTTACATGACAGTTTTGGACTATATTTTGGGCTATAATTAGTTAGTAGTGTAGTTGGGCCACAGGACCATTATAGTTATTTACTTCCGCGCGTATTTTGTATTCTTTGTGTTATGGCAATAAGCCCATTGTATATAAGGGACTAGGGAACATTCTAGAGATACAAAACATGAAATTCAATACACAGCTTTAGCACGAAATCTATAGAACTAAGTACAACCATTGATTTGATTATTGCAGCCTTTCTGGATGTAAAGATGGATCATAACGGCTGGTAAAGGCTTCTGTGTCGCCATACTATGCCCGAATGAAGATGGTAGGTTGGGGGGTGTCTGTTGTAGCAGATGCGGCAAAACAGGTAACTTTTCATTAAAATCCTCTGAACTGAAAGGTGCATTGCTGTAGCTTGATTCAGGGGATGGAGGTGATTCTGGCCAACGTACTGATGTTATTCAGGACATCTGGAATAATATCCTGCCAAAGAAATTAGCGCAATAAGTAAAAGCGAACAATGTAGAGTAAACGAAAAACCATAAGGGCAGAGCAATAGCAAGAAACCATTTCCAATCTCTCAATGTAAAATATTGATCTACAGGCTTCATCATGTTGAGCAAGACTTAGAATCATCAGTTCCACAAGAAAGAAGTATTTTGATCGTTAGATATTGCTAGCATGATATCTTTATTTACAGCACAAGAAGAATTTCCTTTAATAAGAATTCACATGCATTACTTCATATGGATTTTGTTGGGATCGAAAATAACAAGGTGTCATGTGGAAGCTAACAAAGTAAACCTTGGCGACGATAAACAGATGACAAAATAAAAATATGTTATAATTAAGAGAATATGATAATGTGGTTTGGTCAATTGACCTACATATGAGAATAGTTAAGCATGGTTGGAACATTCTGAAATTATGATGGTCGAAACAAATCAAAAATATTTGAGAAAATTTGCTACAAATAATAAGAAGAGTAAGATTAAGGAGACTGCACTGCAACCTTATCTCCAGCTGCTGGTTTTTAACTCAAGTCCTTATTCTCAGTATAGTTCTTGTCATGATAATCTCCATTAACCCCATATGTTGCAGTCTCTTGAGCCAACTTTAGACCACCATTTTGTCAATCTGACTTACTAGTTTATTACTACCTTTCTGATCTAGCTAGGCTTTCACCACTCACCAGTGTCATGTCATGTTTCATATATGAAATACTAGATAGTGTGACCTCGATTTATCAATATAACAAGTTAGATGAAATCTTTCAGTAAGGAGTATCCTATTCCAAGTTAAAAATCAAACTACCTCACAAGAAGAATACCTGCAAATCCAAGACACTAAATACTT